TGGTGCCCAGAACTGGACGCAGTACTCCAGCTGCGGCCTGACCAGTGCTGCATAGAGGAGAAGTATCACCTCCCTGGATCTGTTCGCGATGCACCTTCTAATGCATGAAAGAGTGCGGTTAGCTTTACTTATCACTTCATCACATTGATGACTCATGTTCATTTTGGAGTCCACCATGACTCCAAGGTCCCTTTCTCCTGCTTAGAAAGTCACCTCCCAACCTGTATGTGTGTTGGTGATTCTTTCTCCCTAGATGCAGCACTTTGCACTTATCCTTGTTAAACTGCATCCTGTTCTGTTCTGCCCCCATTCCCAACCCATCCACATCTGCCTGAATCCACTCCCTGCCCTCCAGTGTGTTTACTTTGCCCCATAATTTGGCATCATCTGTGAATCTGGACAGAGTGCTTTCCACGTCCTCATCCAAGTCACTGATGAAGATATTGAACAGCACTGGTCCAAGGACCGAATCTTTTTTCCAGGTTGAAAAATGCCTACTGCCCAATCGTGGGTAGGGTCCCACCAGGTTTCTGTTAACCCAACCAGGTCAAAGTCTTTGTTTGCAAGCAGGAGTACGAGTTCCTCCCGCTTGTTCTCCATGTTGCTAGCAATAGTATAGAGGCACCTAAGCCACCCCGATGGGCGCCCTTGGTACCCCCCTGTCCTACTGTCCTTCAAAGCAACAGAATTAACCACAGGCTAAGAAGGATGCTGCATTGGCATTCTCATTTTATTTGATAAATAAAGACCTCTCAAGGACCTATGGCAACACTGATGTTTCAAAGCCACAGAAAACATCTTCACAGAGATATTCTACTGTCTGTATAACCTTACCTCTCTTGATTTGCATTGATTTCTGAGGTAACCAAATGGACCAAATTCTGCATTCATTTAAACACAATCTGGAATAACTTCACTGAAGAAAATTAAGTCATTTTGAATATACACTAGCCTTTTGGCTCAGATCAAGTGTAGTTTTCTATTTCCAATAGGAAATTACAGATATGAAATATATCTCTGAAAGCAGAAATTTACCCATCATCTGGAAAACAGTAACAGATATTCAAGCAATCATAAACCTGGAGGGGCTGCATAGTCCACTGCCTGGCAGAGTACTCCAATACTGATATTTCCAGTCCAGCACCCGAGGTGCCTGAAATGAGGTAGTTTGCATCAACCGCTGCAGACTTTATAGCACAGAGAGGGAAGGGATGAATAGGAGCAAACTGTGGATTTTAAAAATTATCTCAGAAAACACACTGTGAGGAATGTTAATAGTTACAGAGCTTTACAGTGTGGTTATAAGGTTCATGGAGTCACTTTTAATAGAATTACAAAGCACCTTGTTCAAGAAACAGCCAGCAGGAGACTTGTCAACACACATACTGCCCTGATCTGCGCATTCGATTGGCACTTTTCAATTAAACTGTTAGCTCTTCTCGAATACTTATGAACACAGCAGAGATACATTCAGATAGCATGCAGAAAACATCCAAAAAATTTCCCTTTATACACGATCCTCCTTACGTTTTGATCAATTATGCTATGCAGAGTTTCATTCTCTTCAGAACGGGAGAGTAAAGCCGGCAGTGCTTTCTGTTTCCTCTCTAATGTATTTGTTTCTTCTTCTCCACCATTTTCCACACATTATTGAACATATTCCTTTGTGGATGAGCCAGTTGTGCAGGAAAAAAAAGGCCTGTTGATATTTTCCTGACCATATGATCCATAGGTGATCTGAGCTCATCAGAATATCTAAGAAGCCAGATCCTTCTGTGTCCCTGGCATCTGCCACTTAAAATGTTAGGGTCAGAGACCTGGTTAGGTGGCATGAGCTGCTAGTATCTGAAGAGACTGTGGCATGAATTAAAAGCCCCAACAAGTTATCCTGGCAATAAGTAAACACTGTAGCAGCATGGTTTACCTACCACCCACACAGCAAGCAAAATTCCCTCAGGGAAGGGAAAGAAAACACACTACAATGCTAGTTTCTTCCCCCTTCAGCAGGAAAACTCTTACCAATGGCAGCAGTTTAAGCAGGTGGCATGTTTTATGGCTAGTCTGGGGGGACTGCTAGGAATATGACATGGGTGGCAGACAGTGTCAAGCATGATATACAAGCTCAATCCCAGCAAAACTTCTCTTCAATGTAAGAACCCTTTAACTCTTCTAAAGATTAAGCGTCACCTTTCCAGAGAGTAGAATGTGTCCGTCATGCTTTCACGCTGCTGCGCGCACACCGACACGTGATCACACGTGAATAGCACAGACTGTGGTGCTTTGCAGTGACTGCAGTACTGTGGCATTTACTGAAGATGGATGACGGCATCCGCTGGTTCAGTAGCAAAGCACAATACTAACTTAACCAGTAAACTCTCCTCATAAGGTTTCAGTTGGGTAGAGGAAGAAAAAAATAATTTACTAGAAAATACATTTCCCCAGCTTGGGCTGTAATCCCACTGCCACTGAAGGAAGAGGAGATCTACCACGTGTAAGTGTTTCCCTTTCCTGGCCCCATAACAGCTGCCATTATAGTGTGCTTATTCTAACTGAGATCCTGCTTGACATTGCAGCCTCCACCCCTTTTCATTGTCCTACCATACACAACTGCGAGGGCTAGGCAAGGAATTTGCCCCCAGTTCACTGGAGAACAAGCAGAGCCTTTGAGCTCTGTTACTTTCCTGCCTAAAATTGTGTGGTCCTGGCAGAGATCTGGGGCAGGCATGGATCACGGTGTACTCTTCTCTCAGTATATGGGCATGAGCATGTGCGCAGAGCCCAAATCTCCCCATGTGGCTTTAGGAACATAGAAATCTGTCACACAAGAGTAGGATCAGTGGCCCTCTCTATACATTAATAGTATTATGCAACTAACTGGTTAATTGTGCAATTACCTTAAGACCAGCTATACCTGCAAAGTAGCTATCACATGACAAATAGCTCCAACCAGCTATAAATTTAGACCTCGAAAATGCATAGTGACTTTATAGCTGGTTGCTATCAACCTTGATTCAGCTGACAGGGCTCCCAGCTGCAGAGATGCACCTCACCCAGCATGAAATCCCCAAGATCTGGGGATTGTGGCTGCCATGATGCCTGAAGCTCGAGGGTGTGTGAAACCTCCAGCCCACTCAGGTCTTTCAGTCCCAGTTGCATGTGACCCCACAGCTGGGGGCTCTCAGCCATGGAAGCCTGCCTCTTGTCAGTGCAGGGGGACCCCAATCCTGGGCTCTCCCTGCACTGGCAATAAGACATGATAAGATTTAAAGTGCAATCCCACAGTTGTGCCTCCTGCCATATACGCGTGGCATGGCAGGAGGCCCACTTGTGTGGAGCATGCAGTAGATCTAATCATGCCTTTATCTGCACATGTAGAGGGGCCCAGTGTCACAGGGTTAGCTTACAGCTCAAATCTAGGGATTCTCCGTGAGCATCCTGGTTACAAGCCATTCTCTAATGAAGTCTGCAATGCATCCCACAAGGAATGCTGGTCATTTAGGGCAGATGTGACTGGCTCTTTGCCCACTCCATGTCCTCCCTACCACAGAAGAGCCGAGACTGCACTTTAAGGCCCTATCGGGGGCATATCTGCATGAATAAGAACTCACCAAACAGGTCCTTCAAAAGCCAGTATGCCTAAGGGAGCCATGACACCTCCAATTTCTCTCGAATGGCCCATTTAAAGGGTGCAGTATGCAATTCTATATGCAGGGCCACTTTAACTGAGCATTACGGAGTTGGGTGAGAACCCATGGGCTAGGGACAGACATTACACATAAACTGGTTTAAGTGATCAGAAACTGGTTTAAACCTATAACAGAACAGATGTTCAGTGCACATAAACCAGTTTGAAAATGGCTGAAACCAGTTTGAGATAAACCAGGTGGAATGTAGTATCAGACTTAACTGATTTGGCTCAAACCAATTTATGAAAATTCTGTCCCAGACCCCTTGCTCGTTTATGATAAACCAGACTCCCCCAGCATCCTGGCGTGCTCTCTGGGCTGGGCAGGGCTCTCTGCTCCACAGCAGGGCTTGCTCCTCCCCTCTGCTCCCTGGCTGCAGCACCAGCACAGACTTACAGGCTGCTCCCTGCCCCCACCCCACTACTCTCTGCTAAGCAGCTATTCCCCACTCCTCTCTGCCTTGCAGAGACGTGTCTATGAATTAGCTAGCAGACCACATGCTGGTTACAGTCCATGCTGAATCAACAGGTAGCTGATAATGTCCCTCTGTTGTTTTCTTAATGGGGTGGTAAACACTGTTATCAATTCCCTTCTGGGCTAATCAGAGTGCCCTGCCGGGGCCTGGCCACACCCCTGTCCCTCAGCTCAGTAGTGTGGAAGAGAAGGGAGGGCTGCTCTAGTGCCCCCTGGCTTCTAGGCTGAGTACTCCCTCACACTACAATGGCATCTGGTTCTCACTTAGAAATGCCAAAGGGTAAAGGAGAGCTCCTGGTATGCTTGAAACAAGGAATTCCCAAAGGCTCTGGCAATTAAGGGCCGTCTGTGGAAACAAAGCAGCAGCTCAGAGGAATGCAAGGTTAAGAATTCAGACAAAGTATTTTTCACAGCAAATGAATATGGAGCCAGTACTCACCAACAGAGCAAATGTCTGTGAAATGATCCTCACCTTCTTCAGCATGTATCAGATCATTTTTGCTCTTCTTTATCGTAGCTCTTTTCAACACTGCGTGCAAATTAAAAAAAAAAAGGCCACGCACTGTAAGTTTTTTGTAGTGGATTCTCTCCTTTCTCTGCCTCTCACTCTCTAGGACCTGTATTTACTTCCCAATGCCATTTTAAAGTTGCTGCATGAGGATAAGCTGTAGCAAATCGATCAGCCTACAGCTTTGCACTGGGGCCTCTGCATGCTTTGATGTCAGGGTCATTATTTATTTAATCTTTTAGATCTTGAAGGCTTGCCAGGAAAGAAGTCTGCCCACCTACACTTCATTGCAACTGAAGTGGGAAGATGGGGAGAGCAAACATATCTTCTTTGAGTAGAAGAGAGATGGCTCTTGCTTAATGGAAAGATTCTGAGCCATGACAAGATACGAAACAGGAGCTCTATTATCTATTACAAACATTAATACTGCTTTTCTAGAGCACGTAGCTTTAAAAAAAAAAAATCAATGTTTTTTCTACCCCTGTATCATTTGGAAATACCATAGCAAAAGCAAATTCTAAGATATTGTGAATTTCTCCTTCTGCACAATATCTTCCAGCTGGGGATGTTGTGACACTGAAAACTTCAACCTGGTCCAGCAACAGTCTTTGTAGGAAAGTAGTTCTATCCCTGTATCATTCCACAAAGGGGGAAACCAAGGCACAAAGATTTACTGACTTGCCCATGGACACACCACATATCAGTAGTGAAGCCATGAAAATAATGGAAGTGCTGATTTCCAGTCAGTATTCTGAGCCTTACACACAGGTGATACATAGGGGGGCACATGCCCCCCAGATTTCTGTGCCAATAGCAGGGCCTGGCTGGAGCCAGGGTCCTGCACCAGCAGGAGTGGCGGCACAGAGTTGTCCCCCGACACTGTCAACACTTACACATTGTTTATAGCCCTAGACTACCTACCTTGGAATTGTGAGAACTACCAGGAAAAAATTATACAGTTTTGGTAACAGTTTAAAAACAATACAATAATTAAATACAGCTTGATAACAGCAGTAAGACACTCCATGGTGTGGTGATACATACTGTCCAATAAGTGCACATATAAAACTATACTCAGGATAATCAAGGTTTAGGCTAATGTGAAAAGTAGACTCTTATCCTAAGCAAACTACATTGGCATGACTAAGCAATAAGTGCACCACCTCATCAGGATCTGACATCTTCTCATAACTGTTGCATGATTCAGTTTAGAGACAGGACCAAACAGAACTCCCAGATCCATAAGCCTCAGAATGCTAGAGGTGGAAGGATACCCCAAACTGTGCTCTGAATACAATTTTTGCAAACATATTACCATGAACTACTATGAACTAAACAACAAACCTAGACCCCAACTCTTCCCAACATTGGGTCACGTAAGGTCTAGATCTTAATTCTGCAGCCTAAGCCCATCTTGATAGTATTTACATTACTCCACTCTCTTCAAACTGGGTTTTGAAAAGCCGGGACAAACAACACATTAACGCCAGTGTTTTATATACTGGTGTAAATTAGTCCGGGGTCTATGGAAGACAAGTGAGCATCTTATACCAGGGTAGCAGACTGTAGGCTGCTATTAATGTGTCGTGTCAGCTGGTAGCAGGGGAGCTAATACCAGCCTGTTAGCACTAAGCAAATGGCTACTTTGGAGTACATCATAGACACATTATACCTCATTGGTGTAGTTTTATACTTGATTCTTTCAGGAGCAATTTTACACTGGTTTTGGTGACATTACCCTGGTGCAGAAGTTTTCATCATTTGTCCATTCCTGGTTTACATCGGTATAAAGGTCAGTTAGACTGATGTAAATGTGATATGTGTCCACACCCCCAGACACATACTTGTTAAAAAGAGGAATGGGTCATACTGGTGCCATCCAAGTGCTATGAAAAACTTTCAGCGCCCCAAAATTGCCTCATTTCTGAACTGCGGCACTCCTTGCTTTTCCATTCCTGGGCCTCTTCTAAGCACAGGTCACCAGACATGCCAAGGCCTGTCAGAATCCAGGCTAAGTGTATATGTTGGATCAGTGGTCATTTAGGATTAAATCCCAGCAAACACTGGTAACCAGCAACCTTGATACTCAAGATCTCCTCAGGAAGCCACAAGTGAAAAGCATTAACCCACTGTGCCACCTAAACCCCTGTTGATTTTCAATCCACTCACTGTTGTAGCTGCTGCCGCCGCTAGTCTCCGCCGGTGCCGTGCCTGGTTGAATCGGCCCTTCGGAGGCGGCCCTCCCTGACAGTGAATGGGAGGAGAAAGAAAAAGAAGGGAAGGGGAGGGGAGGGAAGGGAAGAGGAGGAGACATGGGAGGACGAAAGATTGTCAGAAAAGGGAGAGGGAAGAGTCTTTAACTGAAGTTTCACTGACTGTAACTTCCTTAGAGGTCGGTGTCTGAGGCACAGGGAGAACAGCCTCCATAGTCTCACTGCACCTGTGCTGAACAGTGCAATATCTTGAGTCATCTTACGCACACTGTACCACTAGGAGCTGTACAAGTACTAGACATTAGATAGGATCACCACACCCTGTTATGTCTTACTGCTTACAAGTAACAGGGGTCTTATTGTCTGTTTACCAAATCCATTTGGAAGCTTAGATTTAGAGCCCTGCCTTCTTATTCTTCCTTATTCACTGCTGGTATCCACACTGACGCTTTTATCTCAAGGCTACAAGTAGACACATTCCTCTATGCTATCGATAGGCTGATAGATGCCCCATTCATACTATAACCCTGTAATTAGAATGGGGACTCTGGAAGATCTCAAATGTGGATCCCCTTTCCAGACTAACATATCACATAACCACGGATCATCCACATGGAATCTCGAGAAGGCCCTGCATAGGAAAAGGGAATTTTTAGCTGGACTCCCTCCAAGGCTAGGATGAGTGTTTTCGAGTGCATGCAAAGGTACGGTGCCTATTACCCTCTCAGTCGCAACAAAAAACAAACCAGCATACAGCACAAGAACCTCTCGCATACTGCAAGAGGAAACGTACAAGGTAAAAAGACCTACCATCCAGAGGGGACTTCTCTTCAGCGTTCTTATCTTCTTCTGCCAGCATCACCTCTTCTGCAAAAGGGAAACAGCAAGCGCTCAACCTTGGACATATTGCACTGCCACACTGCCTAGGATGGAGTGAGGGTGGGCATGTACCACGGGTTTCACCAATCTCAGTTTGCCATACCACGTAATTACTGCAAGCTTTTGCATACAGTCTTGAGTAAAAGCCTCAGTCACAATACTGTTCCCGCCCCCACCCCCAGTTTCATTCTCCTCCTGCTTCAGGTAAGGAAGTGAGTTATTAGAAGAAACCTTAGAAGATTGACTCTTATTTCCCTGCTCACAAACCTGCTTCCCTCCTCACATTAAACCACCTATTCTGGCAAATAAAAGGGCTGAGCCAAAGCCCTACTTATGCCTTTCTGCCCAGTCTCCACCCCTCAGATTGCAGAAAAGCACATCCAGAGTAGTTGTAATGGGATACAGCAACTTTCACTTCATGCGCAATGGGTTAAAATTGATTGAGAGCAAAAAAGTGCTCACTCTGCAGATCTCAGATCTGTGCCAATCTTATTCTCCAAGCCACCCAGTTGTCAGTGCCAGGACCTTAGCCAGTTAGCCACTGGCTCCCCTCCTCAGTAGGAGAAATAAGCCACCCTTGCCACACACAATCGTACATGATGATGCTTTGGGATGTCACCAACTGGATAACTGGTGAAAACGTGGCCCTGTTAATCAACAGCAAAACTCCTACACTCTCTTCGGCTCAACAGTTCAGTCACTGCAACTCAGTTAAATTATGTATTTCCTATAAAATAGCTTGGCACACACCTTCCTCCCCATATTTATACAAACTGTTGCTAAAATAAACATAAGTAATTCTGCTTTCCTACAATGTATGAACTTAGTATTGACCGAAACTAAAGAATGAAACCTGCTGTGCTTTTCTTGAGTGGGCAGTAGGACAAATATCATAAGGACATGAAAAAAAACCACCGCTGTTTCATTCACAAGAAATTACACTACATAATATTGTATAGCAGCACTTCCAAAATCAGTACAATTCAGATAAACAGGTCTATAATGTTCTGATGTATTTCTGTCAAATACTGATTTTTTTTTGAGTGGGAGGGTATGTTTAAGAAGGAAAACCTAGAAATCTCCAGTGCCAAATCACTAATAGCTGAACCAAATGTGACTTTGCATCATTGTAAACAACAACGTCCTTTCACGTTTCTTGATGTCAGTATTGACTGGGATTTTTGTTAAGTGATACAAAATCCTTCTAAAATCTTGCTTGGGGAATAAAAAAAAAGATCAGTTTAAAGTGAAGACTGGCAAAAGAAACACGCTAAATATCAAAATCTGTTGCCAAAGAATCAGTCTAGAGAGGAAGAGGTGTTAAGTCCCAACCTTACTTACCATCTTTGGTAGTGATCTGGGAGAAGCAGTAAATGCTACATTAATGAAAAGTCACTAAACTGAAAGGACAGAGAACTAATACAAAGGGGATGAGAGAGACTTGAATTGTAAGGAGAACAGGGCAAATGATATCCATCTTGGAAAATGCAAACCCAGTGCATCTAATGGTATAAATATGGGGGAGATGTATCATCAATGGGAAGAAGAATTTTGGGACGTAATAGTGCTGAGAGACTTAGAAGTGATAAAAGCAAATTTTACATCAGTCTGCAGTTATATAAGATATCAAAAAGTCCGATACAATTGGGGGACATTTGCAGAGGCAACTTGTTCATAGAGAAACCGTTATTCTAAATGCCACAGGTGCATTTCTACTCAGGTAACATATTCATTTCTGAATCACTTTGGTATCTAAAAGATATACACCAAAAGTAGTTTAGAGAAGAGCTGCAAAATTATTTGGAAGTGAAGGAGAAAAATAGAAAAAAATAGTCCAAACTGAAAGCAGAACAACTCACAATTGTACACAGTACAAATAAGGAGAACTGGGTGTTGTGAATAATTCTGAAATCTCAAAAGGAAAAACGTGTTGGTCTTATCACTTTGCCCATTCAAAAGTGAACTGAGCAAAAGCCTAGGAAACATGCAATACTGAGCAATCCTGTATTAGCAGAAACATGAATTATGTACCTTAACACTGTAGGTCTTCCTACATACGTTAGGGCTGCACAAAGCTTCAGTCCCTGATTCGATTCAGTGGAGA